AATTTTTTTGAAGAATAAGATGATTTTATGTTGATATAACAATGCTATTTATTTGTTACATATCATAGCTGGTGCATGGATCATCACTAAATAGTATAAAACAAAGTCGTCTCGCTGTCTCATTACCTGTGTATGCTGATCTTTAAATCTACGCAACGTATCTTGATGCGGTTTTTTAACTAGATAGAGTGATTCTAGAGAAAGGTTTGTATGTATAATACATTGCACGCGTGCGAAGTGGTTTGGATGTGTTATGCCAACATTCAGTCATTTCATAAGTACAGGCCCCATTACCCATCAATCACCTGACCAAACACCAAAGTATACTTTCATTTCACGCTGGTCCTCTGCGAGATCGTGTTACTCCTAACACTTGTTTAATTGCCAAAATTTCAATAGAACCTCATACAGGACACAGTACTAAGAACCGAGCATTTCGTTGATCTTTTAATTCTTTAAAACGGGCTTGAGCTAAGGGACAGGCTCACCCCTAGGCACTTGGATCTTATAAGTTGTCTTAGATCGTGATCCTAAACAAAGTCCCTTCAGAACTAAGTTCGCAGTAAACAAAGTCTTAATTGTGTGTAAATAGTAGTAAATAAAAAAAGGAACAGTTATAACAAAATATTACTGATGTGTAAGTCGTGATAGGTCATTGGCAGGCTTCACACATCTTTTTAGTTAATATTTAGGAAACTGCAGGTTTCTTCACGATGTTCCTTCACTGAGCACATGATAAATCAGCTCTAAAATTGAAATTAAAAAAGTTTTTGACGCGTAACGCACCAAGAACTACTTAAACGCGAGCACCTAAAATAAATTATTTTCGTATCACCAAATGTGGTGGCAATGATTTACCTGCTTTTCCATCTTATAAAAATATGCTATCTCTCGATTTGGAGCCCTTAAAACGTTAACGTAAAATTGTTCCTTTGCTGCGCAAGAATTTGCGTATTACGAAAGTTGCATCTAAACACATAAAAAGAAAAAGCGCCTATAGATTAACAATTGGGGTGGGATAGTTTGTCTTCGGCGAAATGAAGAATTTGGAATAGTACGAAAATCGAAGATATCAGGTGTAAGTCCCGTTCTAAAATCATTGGAAACAAATTCAGGATTAAAAGAACAAATAGTAAACAAAGAGTAAACAAACGAACAAATGATAAAAAATACATTTATATTCATTGATTCGGAACGGTCTGATTATAGTTGGCAGTCTCCCTCTCCAACTGTTCTAATAGCGGTTTCGTTCTAACCAATGACGGATCATAAACACGCTAATCTGTCAAAGGCCATCAAATGTCAGATATGAGGCCAAATTAACCTCAATACAACGCGTAATGAAGCCTGCGGTCGTTGACCTATACGCAATTAGAATACGAGTATCGATTCGATAATATTTGGGTTCCATTCATAAGACGATTTGAAGCAGAATAAAATGTATAGAAAGCAAATATTATTTGAAGATAGTTTGTGAATGTTGTGGAGACATTTTAGTTTTTGATCTAGTGTTATAAATGGGAACAAGTAATTTAAAAAACAGTGATGTACGCTTATACATAATATTATGACTTTAGGATTAGAAAACAAGTATTAACTGATAGCTATTTAATATTTATATATCTTTATGAATGTACAGCTAGTGAATGCTGGCTGGAAGTTTAATATGGTAACGTTTACTAATAAAACAGGCTAAATTTGACAGTTAAATATACATGGCATTTTTAAATCATTGACAAATAAAATAACAAAGCTCCAAACAGTTATATAGCAAGTGTAGAACCGTGTTATTTTTACACATTATACAGTTAAATATAACAACAGTACACATTAGGTTGAAAGATTTTGACTTTTTCCTAAGCAGCAGTTTTTCATATTGAACTGTGTTTTACTAGTTTGGTAATGTAAGATAAACGCCTGGTTATATCAACGTTTGCGAAAATATACAGAGCTCCGAGTGGTTTGAATGAAGTATATAAATTCACTGTAGAGCAGTGCAAAGTAGAAGTAATCATACTTTAAGCAAATCATGATTACTTCTAGTCTGCGTCTTAGGAATGAGATGGCCGGTACACAGATTCGACAATCTTTGGTTGCTACTATCATCAATGAAAGAAAAACCGTCTATTTCGATGTTTTGTGGAAATTCTTTGATAAAAACAAAAAGAATACTAATAAACGGAATAGAAATAGTAGAAATCCTACAAAAAAACATAATGTCAGCCTGGTATACATGCCTTCATCAATATCGTCGATTCTTAATTAATCAAAGGGATTTCATAAAACCTTCTCCCGCCATTCTCGCTCTCGTCGCGTTGATTTATTACGGTCATAGATAAAACGGCGTTCCTTCCTACGGTCCAGTTTTGTTCGAATACTTTCGTGGACGGCAGTCGACTGTTTATTTTAATACACATAACACATGACGGCCGTGCAATCACAAATTCCGAGAACATCAGCTCTGCCAAGATTTATCGCGTTTAAATCAGGAACCCGATAAGAAATGGCCACATTCAACTTTAATAAATGCGTACTGTCCACGACACCGCAATGTTTGTATTGGATATCAATTTTCTGCTGAAAGCGTCATAGCCAACATCGCTAAACGCTAAATAACAGCTGATACAGAATCCCCGGCTACTTCGGGCTGATTCTATTTACGCGCCAACATCGGATCCAGTGCGAACGCTTACCGCTCCATTGACATTTACACTTTTGAAGTCTCCTCAAGAATAGAAAAAGATAATTACCAATAGAAACATATCTATAGATATGACTCGGTGTCGCAAATGAATTGTGAGAAAGTGGCAAACATAGGCGTCTTCAAGGCAAGAGTGAATAGGCTTTTACTGAGCTAGCGCGCTTACCATCCACGGCTGCATCGCCACTTACCATGAGGTGGGATGGCAGTCAAGCGCTAGTCAGTTCCATTAAAAATAAAAAAACGCTCTGGCCGTTCACCTGAGGAAAAATGATAGCCACCGCCCATGGACATTTGCAACACGCGTAAGGTTTCAAATGCGTTGCCGCCTTTAAATAAAGGCCCCGGCTACCTCACTCACCAGACGAAACGCAGAAATGTACTTCTGCTTTACGCCGCTCGTCTGGGAGGTCGGGGTACTTACACGGACGGACCCGCCCATTCGTGCAACAGTGAACATCGGAAATATTACCATCGGAATAATTATTGTGGGGTTGATTTCCATACGGGACAAGTTAATGTGTTCCGATTATTTTGTCCAAGGATGATTGTTCCGGATATTTTGTCTCAGCGACAGGTATCGTTTGGAAGGCGACCGATCGTTTAATCCTAACTGACGGATGACAATCTGAGGAGGAAAATTTCGATGACGTATTTTCGAAGCCTTTCTTTATATTTTCAAGGACATTAATAAATAATAATCTTTATATACATAATTCTTCTGTACTCTTATGTCACTGAACTCCTAAACGGCTGGACCGATTTTAATGATTTTTTTTTGTATGTGTTCAGGTCGATTCGGGAATGGTTTAGTTAAATTCGGTCCATTTTTTTGTTTCTAAGTTGTCGTATGTATATTTATTAAAAATAAAAATCATTATATTTGAAACAGATGTTCAATGTCTATAATGGTCGAATTTAGAACAATTTGCTAACTACTACAAAAAAGTTTCGATATTAGGAATACGGTACGAACAGTCAGTCCTGTTATAATTCAATACTTTGCAGAGCTAATTTAAACAAATCCGGTCTCAATATTGTTGTCATTTCTTATATTAAGTTGTAATTTAACAAGGAGAATATTGGAGAAGAACAGTGTTTGGAAACAAATACTGGACCGATGGGACAAAACATTTCAAAGATATTTGATCTAAAACCAAATTGTTCATTACTTGTAGTAAATACGAATTGTTCATTAGTTTTAAAATCGAGGAAAACTTTCCTTGGAAGCGTATTATTACTTATATAGTATTGTATTTGTCATTGTATGTAAAGTGCGTTTTTTTTTTTTGCAACTACTTTAGGTATTTAAATTAATTTAAGTTACATTTTTTCAGAAATGAACGAAACATAACATTGATGCATAGACTGCAGCGGGCATGTGCATAAATGTTAAAACGTTTTTTCTTATTTAATGCTCGTGTAAACGGTAACTTTATTGCACATTTTATAATAGTATGCAACATGTCCTCAGTATTCCAAAACCAATCCCATTTTAATCGTGGATTAATAAAATTGTTTAACGCCTAGATAGGCATCATAAATATACAAGGAAACAATTTGTTTAAGAAAAGAAAAGAAGACACTTCCCATTAAAGATAATCTTTCTCCACGGAAAAGAATGTGAGCTTCTATCCTTTTGTTCCGTTGTTTTTTTATTTACGTAATTACGAAAGAAAACGTTCTCACGAACAGCTAGTTTAGCCGTGTCCATTTCAAAGACAATGGAGAAAGTTCTTTTAATTAAAAATATATTACAATTTAACAACGCCTGAACGCTAAAGTGGCATAATTTCTAAGCGCTTCTGTGCGTAAAAGCGTTTATATCACCTTAAATTATTATTTCTGTATCTATGAGGTTGCTTGTGCAGAGTTTACGCACTTTATAGATTTATTATATAAGGGTAATATTTGGAAATAATGTTATAAGCGGTTGATCACTCGGTGGGGCAGTTGTTAAACTAGGCTTTGACGGCGGGGATAGTGGGTTCGATTCCCATATAGTAAAGTAACAGCCTATAAATGTCCCACTGCTGGGCAAAGACCACCTCTGTAAAGAGAGTATCAGGGTATAATAGTCCACCACGCGACCCCACTGCGGATTGGCGGACTTGATATATTTTCGAAACATTTTTTTTAATTATTAATTATGCAGATGTCCTCAGGATGTTTCGCTTGTTTTGTTCCTTCCCCCTCCCCCCTCCCCGTACGCTGCGAGAAAAGGAAAACTATTTCGTTTCAGGAAGAACCACGCGTGTGAAGCCGCGGTCAAGAGCTAGTGAGAAACTTGAAATATTACCGTTCTTCTGTGCATAATATCCCGTGCCCGACGATGAACCGCTTCCAGTAGAAGAACCTTGGGGCGGACGGCCCTCGTCGTCCACTTCCAACGGCAGCGGATTCGGTTCCATTTTTGAAAACACCACACCTCACTCAAACATTACCACACCGATAGGCACATTTGTCAACACACTAGAATCGACCGCTGTACCTGAAAAAGAGAAAGTGGTATTTAATAGGCTGTAAGAAAGTGACCGGAACGGTAAAATTATTATGGTTATTAAGTCTCACTCTAATATGACTTGAATCTACTTAACTTCATCTTAAATACAAATACTTAATCATATATTTTTTTATAGAAAAAGGAGGCAAGCGAGTTGGTAAGAGATTAGTAGTAGGTATTTACAGCCCATTTATTATCTATTATGATGCTACAGAATATCGATCCGAGCAATCCTTGTATTAATAAGTATTTGGTTCGATTTTCGATACAAATTGCGTCCTGAAATACATCTAAATATTCCGTAGTAAAACAAAAAATTGATATTTTTATGTTATAACTATAATGTTTAAATAAATAAACAACTTGAAATGTTTTGTATATTATAATAATTTTTAACATATCCTATGAAATATGTTACTCATAGCCTAAAGTAATGTAACAAGAGAATTATCAAAGTATATGGCGTGCAGCAAATATTATGATTACATGTAATACATTGAAATCATTTAATTTTTATTTAACAAAACTAAGAAACGATGATCTTAAAATATGTTAATAATTTGTGAAACGTAAACATTTTCTTTTGTTGCTTCATATGATATAGGATCGTTTCAACGATAAGCGTACAAACCATTCGAATTAATTACTCCATTAGCAATCAAAATACAAGAGCAAATTGCCATATGTGCCGCGCTCGCTGGTTCGGCTTCGGGAACACATTAAAACCGGCACACCACATAGATAGCAACGGAAAAAAAACACAACGAACTACGATTTTTCTCGAATCACAATTCGAATTTCGAACGCGATCGCCGAAGCAGCCAACCGAAGCTCGCGAAGCTTCCGTTCTGTATTCGGAACACACGGTGTCCGACGTTAGCATTTCAAAATCGCTTGTCGGCGTGCGAGCGTGCAACGCACTCTCGGTGCTCTTTTTTCTTCTCGTCGCGTCTGAAAGAGACGGAATCATTTTCAGTTTCGGGCGGGAAAATACGTTCATTGAGAAAACGTTGTCCAGTTTTCTGTATTTAATCTATATTGAGCAAGTCGCTCTACCGTTTCAAATTTAAGTATACCTTTAAAAAGAAAAGGTGGCTTTTTGGAGTTGATTTAAACAAAATAACCCAGAAATCAAATCATTTTAAACGACGTACTATTACTTTGATCTTTCAAAATGTGAAAATGCCCAACATTATGATGCATAAAACGTTTATAAATATACGAGTACATGGTTACGTCCTAATACAACGGAAATAAAGTTCGGTGAAATCGGGCGTTCGTAAATTATATACGACGGCGCAAATAACTGTAATACTTCGTTTCGCCCACCCACAGACGTCTTTGCGTTGTACAATATATGACATAAGACAATGAAACGTGTAAAATATCTGACATATAATATGTTAGGCTACGAAAATGACCTCAATAGCGCTTTTTGAAAAAAATATTTTATAACATTATCTAGTTGTGTAACAGACTACAAAGTTTGTACTATGGATACTGGAGATACTAGACTTATTTGTAAATTCATGTCATAGATACATAAACATCTAGATAGTAGAAAAACACTTTGTAGTAGTGGTTTCTAGGATACAGTTAATGGAAATCATACCATCCGATAATCACATCAAATCAGTGTCTTCCACAACTCAAGAGAAACATAAATTTTCTGTTTCAAGTTTTTCTTGTTTAAACATTAATTATTTCTGTTCCAAAATTCGTTTTAATTATGTTCCAGATATCTTACTTCGCTTTAACTTTTCTTAATTAACTTTATTGTTTCAATATTCTTACTTGTTCCGTTTTTTTTCTTGAATAATATTTATAGGCTTGTGATTACGTGACATTCAAAAGGCAAAAAAAAAAATGCTTCACTTCATATTTATTTTGTGTGAGTATCGATTTATATTTTTAATCTGGTCCTTTATTGGTCAATTTTTTTTTTAATTTAGACTTGTTTTAAGCATTCATGGACCTCAAAATTTTTCCCACAAGAATTATATCCTAAGAAATGTTTGTTACCTCTCCAAAGATTTTCTTTTTAAATAAGATTAAACAGACTATTAAATTATCGCCGGGACTTCAATTGCAGTGTATTGCTATCAAATTGTATTGCAATTTAGAAACAAGATGTTTGGAAATATCTTGCAAACGCTATTGTAACATGTAAGCCGCACGTTCATACAAGTGATAGCAAATAGCACCACAACTCTCACTGACAAATCAATAATACACTGAATTATCGTCAGACAAAAATGAACTTAATTGTTAGTGCAACTAAGTCTAGATTCCTAAAACCGCCTCGCGGTACGGTTTATAAGCCCCGCGCCGTCGCGGTATAGTTTTTCGTTATGTCATTTTGGAGCGACAATAATGCTCGCCATGTTCATTTGCGTTCACTGATTGCAAAGCATTTTAATTAAAATTGGGATCGCTCAATCGTCTTTGAACATCACTTATTGTGTTATTGTTTAGCAGTCTTAACTCAGGCTCATTTCAGGCATCGAAATGAATAAATAAACATATTCGGCAGCGAATGCAAGCCCGAATAAATATTCTCCAAAGCAATTTGTTGAATATAAATACGGAGAGTGCGTTAATTAAATAAGACTTTTGCTTTTGTGCATTATATTTTATTTTGCGCTTTAAGTTATATTTTAGTTTAAGTTTTTAGTTCATAAAGAAGTGGAAAACTATAATATTTTACAGACTACTGTAATATTTATAATTATATAGTTGTTAAAAATGAAAAAAAAAAAGCGTGTGTGTACTTATGTACACGCGTTAGAAGTTATACTTCTTTGGTGTAACAAGATAAAAATCTTTTCAATTTTTTTTTCTTTCGCCTTATTCTACGTTTGTAGAAAAAACGTACACTAACGATAGAAAAAAGGTATTTAATACCATGAAAGTTTTATTATAACGCATTATATAGTTAAATAAAGTTAACACAACTTAACAGAATCGCATTTGTGCCGGCTGAATGACGACATACCTGCCGCGACTTTTTAAGAAGTGTATAAAACGCGCATAGGACTTAATACTGAATACAGTATAAAAGTCATGCGACCGTATGTTCATGCACGTAATTACCATATCAAAAGCCCTAAACGTATTTCGTCTCTTAACGTTTATCCTTATCTATACCCGTTTATAGTGAGATCTTTTCAAAGGTATTAGCTTAGTTTAATAAAAATATAACCTCACTAGCGGACCCGACAGACGTTTCTGAACGCATGACTAAAATCCACAAAAAATACAATTTTTATAAAAAAAATTGTAATGGACCGAATTGTGATTTATTTAACGAATATTTTTAACGGTGGTAGGGCCACGCAGCAGCCTCGGCTGTTGCACGAATGGGCAGGCTCCTCCGGGTAAGTACCACGACCTCACAGAAGATCAGCGTAAAGTGGAAGTATGACAAATACTTTCGCGTTTCGTCTGGTCAGTGAGGTAGGCCGGAGCCCAATTTTCAAAAGATTGTCAACGCATCTGTAACCCTCGGGTGTGGCAGATGTCCTTGGGCGGCGGTATTCACTTAACATCAGGTGAACCGTATGCTCGTTTGACAACTTTTCGCATAAAATAAAAAAATAAATAAAAATGTGAATCTAAACCATCCTCGAATCAACCTGAAGATACACACAAAATTTCGTTAAAATCGGTCCAGCCGTTTAGGAAGTGTTCAGTAACGTACACACGCACAGGAGAATTATATATTATATAAAATATATAATCAGGCCCAAAAAGGATCCTACAATTAAAAAACACTATCAAGTTTATGCATTTCGCGTGCGTAAAACATGTAACCTTTACGTTGAAATGCAAAAAAATAAATGAAAACACCAAAACGCAATATTCCTATGACGCGCGTCCCACGCCGCCTCGTTAAAAACATGTCAAATCTTTTAACATCGAAACTTGATATTTGTTTTATAAAAATTTTCGTATGACCGCTCTGTAAAAATAACATGGCCGTGGATTTAGGGCAACGGATACAGAACTGTTTATTTTGATATATTGATTTTCGGACTTTTTTGACTAAAAACTTTTTACATTGTATTATTTCTTATAAAAGTAAAGTAAAGGCTGTTGGCCTATATACTATATCCCACAGCTGGGTAAAAGTCTCCTCTTTTTCCATTAAAATATCATTTAAATACAACTTTATTTATTTTAACTATCAAAGGCATCATGAAGTTTCTTTAAATATGTAAAACGAACTATAACGAAATAAGACGTAAATATATGATAGTCAATTTTCTACCAATTTTCGTTTTAGTATTTCTCCGATGGAAAATCTTTATACGATTAAATAACTTGAAGATCTCATTGGAGTGTGAATATAAGACTTGACACATTGATAGCGAGGAAATCCAAATATAGTTACTCTATTACTTTTAATTTTTGCCCAGTAATAATTGATAGTTTAGGTTTTACACGAATTCAAATATTATTGACACAATAATTACATTTAATTTTCATAAATAAATGGAGCGTGACCGTGACATGAAACCATTTGCACATTTGCACTATCTGTGTCGTGTTTGTGCGGGAGTTAGTTTACTCTAGTGGACTGTTATCCTAACATTTCAATCAAAGACGTGCCATAATATATCTATGGGTAAAATATCAATGATCCGAGGTGAGTGCAATCTAATTTAGCCTATACAAAACATTATAACATTTTTTGAATTGGCTGTGATTAAATTTGTATGCAATTTTGTTACTTTTAAGTAGTTATACACCTAACATTTTATTATCCTTTCGGGACAGTGTCCGGACGCTCGCCTTTAATTCTATTTACTCGAGCAACCTGATCCCGAGCTAGCATCAATGAAATTGTTAATTTTAAGTATTGACTTATCATGTTTGTGGTGAAGAAAAACATCCTGAGGAAACCTG